ACTGTATTTTCAACACATAAACAGCTTTTGAGGTGGGGGGAGCAGTACCCACAGAAACATTAAAGTACAGGGGAAACGTGTCTTGAATTCATGCAGGGAGGCCCATCTTGTTCAGAAATGTCTCTTTGGTTGATTGGTTTATTGGAGTCTGTTTTAAAGAAGGTGGACTTTGTTTAGGGCTGTACCCTAAACCTACAGAAGCCATCCCTCTCTACCAGGGTGAGTGTTCCAGAGAGCTGAAATTTCATCTTTAACACCAAAATGCATTTAACACAATTTAACCTAATGTGGATATAAATGCTTCCAAAGTGAGTTCTACCTGTTAGTTATGTGCTCTGGGCTGAGTGTCCCAGATAGCTGTCTTTGGTGAGCTTGTGTATCACTTTTCATGGTGACGCTGCTCTTCCTTTGAGATTCGACTAACAGGGCCCTGCTGCTGTGCTGGTCCATTTCAGCCGCCATGGGGCATTTGCTAGTTGTGTGCGGTAAACCCAAGTGTCACAGTTGCCAGAACCGTGCCCATGAGGAGAGTGGTTCAAGAGGGGCTCACCTAAGAACAACAAAGGTCTGTGTGTCTCCTTAATATTGGGAAAGAATAGGTAAAGTATCTTTTTCTGTCAAATTGGTTTATTATAACACTAGCTAATGGCAGTAAAGCATCCTGAGGAAGGGACACCTGATTCTCATATTGCACATGGGCTGGTATTGTCCCATCCCTGGTCCAGATTTGTATCTTTCTCAGCTGATCTAGATGATCTGTTGGTGAGATCCTCTCTCTCTCTGTCTGTCTCTCTTTCTCTCTTTCTCTCTTTCTCTCTCTTGTCCTTGCCCGCTGCTTGGCTCAGCTCAGGACCCACATTTTACTATAGAGAGCATCCTGCTCAACCTGTCCACGGTAAGGTTCAGAACTTGTTAGCAAACTTCCCTTTGCTGTGATGAAATGCATGAGGAAATCAACCTAAAGGAGAAAAGATTTATTTTGGCTCAAAGTTTCAGATGTTTTAGTCTATAATCACGAACCCCATTGTTTCTGGACCTGTGGCAGGGCAGAACATCATGGCAAGGAGCACATTTTGGAGGAAAGCTGCTCACTTCATGGTGGCCAGGAAGCAGGTGGAAGTGGAGGGTGTGCAACAAGGACATGCCCCCCAAGGACCTACTTCCTCAAGCCAGTCCTACCTCCTTAAGTTCCCACCACCTCCCAATAGCCCATTGTCATGAATCTATCAAGGGATTTATCCATTCATGATGTGAGAGCCCTCATTATCAGTTCATCTACCTCTACACCTCTGAACATGGCTGTATTGAGGACCAACCCTCCAAAACATGAGCTTTGAGGGGGAGCATTTAAAATGCAAACCATAATAAGAACAAAATAGTCCACTTCCCTGAACCTATTCTTCAGCCAGCCTGCATGCCTTACTACATGCCAGCCCTGCCTGACACCCCTCAGGTTAGCCCCTTGTGTTCAGGACATGACTTGCTACTATCTTCCCCAGAATTACATCCCATAAGCTCTCAAATCTGCTGAACTTTGAGAAGCTTTTGTGTAATAGATACAATGACATTTTACATCTTTACCTTTGTGATTTCTTTTCAGTATTTTGGTACTAAGAACACACAGTATTGGTTAGGGAGACTTGCACAGGTAGGAATGTTATAGACAGATCAATGAATGAAGTAACACTTAATTCAGGTATGCAGTTGTATCCAGTGGCACATGGATGGGCATCATCCAAGAAGGTCTCAGAGATGATGTCTGAAGCTCAGGGAAAGTTTTACCTCTTCATATAGGAGGTGGTTTGGTGAGCACCCTCTTTAATATCTTTCAATTGTAAATACAGTGCATCTCACAATGACAATGAGCTTGACGAAAGCAGAACTTAGAACTGCGTATTCCTTTCTTGTGAGTCATGGATATGAAGATAATAGAAACAATTTTGTTGGGCAGAATGTTTTTGTTGGTTTTTGTTCATTTGCTGGTACACAGCTCAATTCTGGGATAAATAAATTTGCTGGATAGTTGAGTTATAGAATATCACACGTTTTAGAAAAGGGAATATGAGAGTATTACTATTTGGAAGAAATTTGTGGTCCCCAAGCCCCTGCATCTGCCAGACTCAGAAAAGAAGTGTTGAACTTCAGTCCATGTAATAGATGTGCTTGACAGAGAGTGCTTCATTTTCTTGCTTGAATAGGGGCAGAACCTACAGTAGAAATAGATCTTCACTGGGTGGAGACCTTTTGAAATTTAGGGCATGAATGCAGGACCCTAAAGTCCAACCTGAGTACATTGTGTATGGGAGCACAAGACTGTGCTGCTGTGTCCTGCAGAGGCTGCTAACAGACATGTTCATGGCCAATGACTACATTTCAGTAGCCACAAGAAGAGAACAGATCAGTGAGTTGTCTGAAAAGTTCTTCTTACCAGCATATTTTTCTTTTCTCCTGTAGTTGTACATTAACTACATTCTTTCTGAAGTTGTTTTAACTCTTTCAAGTCACAAGTAAAATATCTAACTCACACTGAATCATTCACATAATTTACATCAAACCAGGTACAGTGTATTAGTCAGCTTTCTGTTACTATAACAAATACCTGTCATAATAGACTTATAAAAAGAAAAGGTTTATTTTGGCTTGCAATTTTGGAAGGTTCAGTCCATAACCGGGAGGACCCACTGCTTTTAAGCCTCAGTAGGGGAAGAAGGCAGACAGCACTTGCTGGCAGAAGCACATGGTATAGCAAAACCACTGACTTCATGGTTAGGATGAAAGAGAGGAAGAAGAGGGGCTGGAGCCCAACTCTCCCCTTATGCTCCAAATGTCCAGAAAACCTCTCACCTGGCCCATCTCTTAAAGTTTCTACCACCTCCCAAGAGCACCACACTAGGGACTAAGCCTTTGATAAAAGGGCCCTTGGGGTGGATATTTGTGATCCAAATCATAGTAGATGGATGGATAGATGGACAATAGGTAAAAAGCTTGATAGGTCATAGATGTCTGAAAGTATTGATTAATCTCTATGAATCTATACATAAATATCTTAGTTTAAATTATTTATCACAAGGATAGATCCATATTACATGACAGACTAAGGCTGCAATCATTAATCAGTAATTTGGTTTTTTTATTCTTTAAGAGAGCATTTTAATGAAAATAAGTAATATGGAAAGGAATGTATATTTTGGAGTTTTTTCTGCCTACACTATTTTTCACTTAAATAGAATTGATGATATTTGACATAAATTTAAGAAAGATTCTTCTCTATCATTTGTAAAATGAAACCTTATGATAGCTAACAAATCCTCTCTCCAAATGGCAAGGTCCAAAATAAAAACTGCCATTTCAGCACTTTCAATATATCAAACCCTGGGATATAGTAGGAAGTTTACCTACATTTTGTTTGTTCAGAAGAACATGGAAAACTGAATTACTCCCTTAGTGAATCAGGAAATTGAGAGCTGCCAATCTGAAGGTTTACCTGGGCTGGATCCCAAGAAAGTTATGGGGGCACTGTACCCTAGAGTCTATGTTATTCTTTTCACAACTGTACACACCAGAGTCTCCCATACTCAGATATTCTCACTTGCTGGGACACTAGAAACTTGGGGACAGAGGCTCAGGAACAGGCTATAGACACTGACAGATTGTTGAGAAGTCAGTGTTCTTATTGGAATAGGTGATTGTGGGCCATTTATTTTGGGGTAGAAGAGCTTTGAAAAAATACAGTGAGAATCATCAAGCTAATCCAGCGGATCTCAGGATTCTTTTAATTTTTGGCCCAACACACAGGAAGGCTAGGACCCATTCTCACAGGCAGCCATTCCCCTTAAGGGTCAGGGGGAAACTAGTGAAGGGTCACACCCTTATTTAAAATAAGTAACTCTTTCAAAAAGTTAGAGTATACTACCAGAAAAGAAGTTTAAAACCTCAACACGTATACAGTGGGTGGTGTCAAGAAAGTCTCTTCCACTCGTGTTCCTGGTCCTGCCTTGTCCTCTCCCCGTGCAGCTTGATTTTCCATCTCTGGGGCCTTCCAGAGATATTCTATGTACAGAAGCACTCATTTGCTGGAAAAGCAAACCCAATATACTGTCCCTCATTTTACTTTATTCATTTAACAATATACCTTAGACTTTATTCCACATCTACACAAGAGCATCCACCTCATTTTTTACCTGCTATAAAGCATGGGTACACTTAGCTTATTTAACTAGTCCCCTGTTGAATGACATAAAGTGATTTCTAGGTATTAGCTATTACCATGTAGAAATAAGCCACATGTTGTACACATCTATAGATCAATCCATTACTACCTCTGTATTCACTATAGTACATGATTTAGAATCGGTGTTTCTGCAATAATGATAGCTAACATTTCTAAAATGTTTACTGTGTATCAGCTACTGTGCTAAACACTTTACATGCATTATTATTTTACTATATTATTCAATTTTAATATCTGGTATTTATATAAGTAATATCATGTGGTACCTGATGACAAGATATAATTTTTAAAATTATAGTGTATCTGTATATTACATAAAAGTAAATTATACAATAAATGAATAATATTTAATAATTATTAATCCATTATACTCTATCACCTAAATTTTTACAAATGAGGCTGGCTAGCTTAAAGTAGTGGAGGTGGGATTTGAGTCCAGGTACTCTGGTCTGAGTCAGGGTGCTAAGTTATCTAGTCTCCAGGTCACTATAGGACATATAACATGAGTTCCTAGGAGCTCTGTAGAGCATATGATAGTAGTGTATACAAATGGAGTTCTTATCCAGCCTTCAGGGGCAATCTTACAAGAACAATGCAGAGCATACGGTGAAAGTTTGAGAATATGTGGGCATATCGATGCCGCAAGTCCCCAGAGGCATTGCTATTACCCACCAGCTTGCCTCCAGGACAGCAGTATGGACAATAGATGTCAGCACAGTAGGCGTGGGCTTGTTAGATACTTTGAGTACAACTCTCATTTTATCTTTAGTAGAAACAAAAGTATTTTCTGGAAGCAGCAAGAAGCAGCAAGGTGAAGCACGTGTGACTCTGTCCGCTCCTCCAGTGGAGCAGAAGCACATTAAACGATTCCTTCCTGATGGGGACAGCTCCCCAAACGATGGCTGTCTGTCTAGTGACCTTTGTAAGCCCACAGAGAGACGACCTCCAAGCTTCCTGAGGCCCAGAGTCACCTTGCCTGGGTTCCTTTGCCCCTTACAAGATTCATACAGCTCTCCACAAGAAGACAATGGTGCCCAGATAAAAAGAGAGCTCCCCAAAGGTAAGGAGTGAGGGTGGCAGTCAAGAGGATCCTTTCTTAATTCTCTTGTGAAAAATGGAGCAATGTCTTCCTGGGCACACAAGCCTCACCTTATTGAGATATCAGAGAAGAGAAGGAGCAGAAACAGCTCACATGGTGGGACATTTAGACAGCACAAGCAGCCAGAAGGCAGCCTCCTAAGGGCCAGAGGCTCTAGTCCTGCTGGGCATAAGGATAGTACCAGCAAGGTGAAAGGCCACCCTGGAGCACAGCAGGTTCTGGCCTGAGCTCAGGAAAGTCTGAGAAGTTGGTGTGGCTTCTCTGAAGCAGCAGGTCTACCAGGCTGACCTGTGGGACTCAGTGCTCTCTCAGTGGTCCCCAGGAGAAAATGGTGACAGAATTTAGAAAATAAAGACAAAAGACAATAGCTGGGGTCAGGTGGAGTTACCTCTCTTGCCTGATGAGCACAAGGACTGACTTCAACATTAGGGGCATTTATTTATACCCTCGAGAGGCTGGTTAATTTCTGCCTTGCTGCCCACCAATCGGTTAACAAGTTACAACGGCTTGTTTACATGCTTTGAGGTGCTTCTGTGTTCTTGGGGCTCCCGTGTTCTTGGGCTGGCTTCATCCTGCATGTGTAATTATTTTCTAGTGTCAGCAGCTCCCAACACTGACCAAGCACTCCTGTGACAGACTAGCAGGACAGTGGCTCAAGGGTGTAACCCCACATGTTGCTGACACTTGACATGAGCACTTTAGACCCCACAGTGCCCATGAGGCAGGCCCAATCTCACCTGTCACAGAGAAGGAAACCAAGCAGAGCACAGGCATCATTTCTCTGGAGGTCATTCTGCTGGCCATGTCTGGATAGTGCAGTGGGTGGTGATGTCTAAGAAAGAGGCAAAAATGAAATGGTCTCTGGTCCCCAGTATGTCAGTGGGATAGTTTAGATTTTCTATCACTCTAATAATCTCCTCAAAGTATTATGGAGAAGGACAGAAAGAAAAATACAATATTATATAGCTTTGTGTTGTAAAAGTTAAAATGGTTATGGTAATTAATATATGAAAGTGTCCCTTGGAACTCATTAATCCCTAGCTCCTCATTCATCAATCCATTGCACAAGCAATTGTTAAACATCTACTGTGTGCCATGTATTGTGATCAGAGCATCCCACCCTCCAGGCTCTCAGTCCAGTACAGGACAGAGTGAGTAGCACTATTCTGTCTATGAAATGGGCTCGTAGGAAGCCCAGGGTGGCCTGGCACTCTGAGAGGGCCTGGCAGAAGTGACTTCTCCCTGAAAAAGATTCTGAGCAGGAACTTCAAATGTAATTAGAGGTCTAAAAATCAGGCCAAGAACAAAGAGCATGGCAGGCTGAGAAGGAGGCATGCACAAAGCAAAGGGATGGAATGCTCATTTGGGGAACTGCAAGTGAACCAGGGGCCAGAGCCCAAGGGTGGTGTCTGGTATGAGGGACCACACCAAGGTACCCATGTTTTCATGGAAGACCTTTCTAAAACCAGTGCTGGGGTCTGACTGAAGGCAATGAGATTTTCTCAGAAGGATACTGTGTCATAAGCAATGTGATAGACAGAGGGCAGAGAGCTCTTAGCCCAAGCAAGAGAGGAGAATGGACAGTTACTGGGTAGGAGACCGTCTACTGTATAGATGTTTTGGATTCAATGGGCGATCCTTGTAATGGAAGTGGAGAAGATGGGAAAATTAGGGCTGTCTTTGGATTACTGTTCTGGTCATGGTGAGATGGTGGAGAGGGCTTCAAAGAAAGTGCATCTTCCCTGTGAGCTACAGGAAATGTTCACAAGAAGACAGGGAAACAGTATGGTGGAGGGGAGAACTGATTTGCTAAGGAGGGGGTTTGGAGGGTAATAAGCAAGCATGGGCTAATCTGGATTGATAGTTAAGACACTGGCTAACCTGGGTTAGCAGTTATAAGTATAAAGAGGAGATGGGCCAACAGGGAAATCTTCTAGAAGGAGCAACAGCAAATGCTTGGAAATATGAAAGAGAATGGCATGAGAATGTCTAGGTAGTGTGGTCTTGGTAGAGCATGACAGTGACAGGTGGCAATGGAACATTCACCATGAGGAAGCCACGCAGAGTCTGGTCAGCTTGCACTTGTCAGAACTAGGGAACATTGATGGATGTTGAATAGAGATAGGACAGCTGGTCTAGCCAGTGAGAATCTAGGCACAAAGCATGACAATGACAGAAGATTCAGATGAGCTGCATCCTGGGGTCAGGTGAGCTTTCTGATGGCCACTTCAGCTTTCCCAAAAGAACCAGCTCTTCAAGGCACCTGGCTTGGCACTGTGGAGCATAATGTGGTCCAGCCCTTGAAAGAGTCACAGGCTCATGGGGTTAAAACATCATTTTATGGCTCCACTCAGGACCCATGCAACTGAGTGTGTGAAAGGTGTTTCTCTTCAGAAGGATAACAGAGTCAGGGACAGGTCCTGTCTTGGGGAAGGGAGACAGTGCCCTGAAGGCTGGAAGTCAGCCTAGAGATGGAGGTCACTGGGCAACAGAGCTAAGTGGTATGTGGGGACAGGAATGCAGGAGAGGTAAGGAAGACTTTGTGCTGGTTCAGAGCTGGAGAGTTTGGTGAGACTGTAGTTGGGCTACAGAAAGTGCAGTAAGGAGAATAAGGGGGCTCAGATTGGAAGGGTGAGCTAAGGATAGACCAAAGGATCTATACTTTCCAGGCTGAGGCATTGGTCAGGAAGTGGCCAGTGAATTCTTACTGATCTCCCTTTTACCACCCTAAGTGCTGAGGAATCATCTCATTTCCTGACCTTTTTCCAAAAAGGAAAATCAAAATGGCCCGAGGCAGAGACCAAAAAAATGAGCTCTGAGAGAGAAATCATCCCAATTACTTATGTAAAGCCAGTGGTAGACCCAGGCAAATTAAGGGGAGAGATAAATAATTGAATGCCATCCCCCATCTTTATGTCATTAGTATAGCAAACATGAGACAGATTAATATGCTGTCCTGAAGCAACCCAACTGTAATAATTGTACAGGACACACAATATGAAACAGAGAAGAGAGTTTCTGTTCATTTTCAGCAAAGGCATTGTAAGCATCAGAAGCCAAGGAAATACCTCCATGGCATAATTAGCCAGTCTTGAAGTGTGGCTGACTGTGAGTGCTCCTCCCTGTGACCAGGGCAGCCATGATGAGGCATGATCTTGTCAGCTTAACGAGGCCCATTAATAACCCACTGGTGTTTCTATTTTCAAAATTGTCTTCTGTGTCTAATGGTGTTGAGGAGCCAGGGAAAAATCACTCAGTGCCCTCTAAATGGAATTCTAAATCTTCTCTCCTAGGAGATTATACATGCTGTGACTTGGTTGTAAAAATAAAGGAATGTAAGAAGAGCGAGGACTCCACCATGCCTGAGGTCTCACCAGCACTCCCCTCACCAACACCTCTCAAGGGACCTGAAACACCTGGTTTGTCAGAAGACAGACCTGATCCTCAGGAAATACCTGCAAACCCTTTGACCTTGCAGGTAAGGCCTGCTGAGCATCCCAGCTTGATTCTCACCCAAAGAGGGCCATTTCTGGGGTATGGCAAAGAGATGTACAGCCTCATTTCTGCCTCTGAGACTGGAAACTTCCTTTCTAGTGGCTGTGTGACCCTGGCAGGTTCCCTAACCGATCTGAGCCTGTTTCACCATTTGAGAATGGAAATGATGACACCACTCTACCTGCTGAGAATGAAGGTCAAATACTATAAACAGTGACCATGATCGTAGCAATGGCAGGTGCCCAAAGGCTGCACAGGTCACTGGATAGGCATCTCCACCTTTGATCCTCTAAATACCCCTGACAGGCAGGAGCCCCCATAGGTTGTCTTTAGATCAAGACACTGAACCTTTGAAAGACTGTGAGAATTAACAATTCATATGGCCATGAACTGCAGGAAATGGAAGCTTTTGTTTGGCACCTTTCATAGTTATAGGAGGAATATGGACAATTTTATTAAGTTATAAAAAATTAGGAAGACAAAGAGCCTTGGAGAAACCCCACTATGGTGTATTGCATAGCCAGCCACAACCTTAGGGAAGGTACTTAGTATGCTGTGAGTCTCCCTGGGAATGTGAAGATGGCTCCATTGGTGAACTCCTGCATCCTTGGGGGCCCAGTAAGGCCCCTTGGTGTGTTCACTGTGCCCCTAAGCATCCTAAGCATCCTAAGCCTCCAGGAATTTCCTTGGAGTGATGCAGCAGTCACACATGGATGAGCAGGGCATTCTCAGGAGCTGTCTTTCTAGGCCTGGGCTTCCCATGAAACTTCAGTATGTATGGTGATTGGTGGCTGTAGTGCCAGGTAACTAGTGGTTAGCACTTGGCGAGAAGACTCCTTTCTTGACACATCTGCCAGAGGCAGAAACGTGGCATAGACAGAGCCCACAATGCCACCCTGGAGAACTCTGAGCTCCCAGTGGACTGGGAGAGGAATGAAGCAGAGGAGTATTTCCACCATGGCAGCATACCCAGTAAGCCTTTGCTGAGCACTTGCTATATGCAGAGTTGTATGCAGAGCTGTAAGCAGAGCTGTATGCAGAGCTCAGGGCAGTGTCTGTGATCATGACATGCAATATCAGTGACAGCATCTGCTCATGCTTTCCAGGATCTTACAGCCCAGGATGGAGATAGACATGTGCAAATCACTCTTGCATGAAGTGATCTGTAAAGTCCCACAATGATAATGCTGAACAGGGGAGATCCATCAGGGTTTGCTGGGATAGATGGAACTTGAAACAGTGGGAGTGGCTGTGGATTGTCCTCCAGGAAGGGGAATAACTAGAGTATGGGCCATCAGAGAATAGAAAGTTAAGATAATGATGGGCAGAGAGAGTAAAATATGACTCTTATAGGAGAGGGTCACCATGTGATCTACTGAGGTACTGTGAGCCTCTGTGTTTGCATCTGTCCAATGGGAATAAATACACTTACACTGTAGAATCCATGGGGGTATCCCAGGAGAGGACCTAGCCCAGTGTCTTGCATGGCAGCAGTCTTTTCCAGCTGACCTGTGGCTTGGTGTATGGACGTGGTAGGGATGAGGCAGATGTGGAATTTAAAGGCTTTTGACCCATTCTATGGAGCTCATGGAACCATTTTGTGTAGGCAGGTATTTCCTCCTCATTCTACTGAGGACGAATGGTTTCCTAAAGTCAGTGTTATAGTTTTTCCTGAAAAGGCCCATTTTTCACCCTGGGAGGATGATGCTTCTGCAAGTCTGTACCTTCCAAGAAGCAAGTGACTCACTGTGTCTACCTCCCACCTGCATCCATTTTCCTTTGAATTTTGGATGCAGGACCTATTGGCAATTAGGGATTTACTGAAGGACAAATGGGCAGATGTTTGCCTTTCGCACTGGTGGTCTCACAGTTCATTCCTGCTTGATGCTGTGAATGCGACCCTTGGTGCTGGCCAGAATTGACTACCACCACCTGTGTCATCAACATATCTGTTCCCATTTTTACACACGGTCATGGGGAAAAGCAGTGAACTATTTTGTACAAAGCTCTTAGTTTCTGAGTAAAATATGACTCTTATAGGAAAGGGTCACCATGTGATCTACTGTGTACTTTTTGTACAAAGCTCTTAGTCCTGCTTTTGATTGGCTTCTATTGGCTAAATTGGATGGATGTGTTGGCTTTTGGTATGATTTCTCTTAAAAATAAAATATTTTCTTTCTTCCAATTAGGAAGCTCTGGAAGTCCATAAACCTCAGTTCATTTCTCGCTCACAAGAAAGGCTGAAGAAGCTAGAACACATGGTGCAACAGAGAAAAGCGCAGCGGAAGGAGAGCCTGGGGCAGAAGCAGAATCTCCTTCCTGTCCGTGCCAACAAGAAGCAATTCACTGTTCCCCATCCTCTTAGTGGTAGGCTGCAGGTGGTGGGGGAGATCTGGAAAGGACCAGGGGAGAGGAGTGCTTGGGGATAAAGTCATTACCTAGGTTCTAACAGTCCCACTGACATAGGAAGAACTAATTGTAGGCATCCTAATGCCTGTTCTGAGAGCTTGCTCATTTTTGAGAGATTACATATGGGCATCAAACTTAGCAGGAATAACTTGGGACACCAATTTACCATTATAGCTGGGAAAGAAGCCACACCACTGTAGCAGCCAGGGTAGCAAGTTCAAATTCTTGGCTCCTGACTGATGTTTGCAAGAGATCCCCTTTGCCCTTTATAGATTGCAAAACAGATCTCAGGGTGAGAGGTTGACTCCAGCTTGTCTACATCAACATTCGTCATCCTGAAACCCCTTCCTGCTGTGAGCTCAGGGAAAGGATGGCCAGCTTGCTGAATACTGTGAAGCCAGGGTCAAGCTGACCCTTGGAGGGAGGGCACTCACTCACTCACTCATGGGAGAAGGAGTTATCAGGAACCTTCTCTAGGCCAGGCTCCATGTGGAGGACTGGTGATACCACAGGGGGCAAGACTGATCTCAGTCCTTTCTTCATGGAGCTAAAGAACAGACCATTTAAGTAAGCAAAAATAACAAGAAAAGATAACAGCAAGGATGCATGATATCACAGCACATACTTATGGCCTGCCAACCCAAATCTTAAAATCTGCAGGCATGGAGAAACCTCAGTATGATTCCTTTGGATGAAGGAATGAGATCTCTCTTCCTAGGAAAATGTTTTGTTCCCCAGAAGGTAAAATCCTGAGTATAATTCTGAATAAAAGTCCTCTGGGGAAATAACTATATTCAGTAAAGTGCAGCTTAGCAAACATTACCAAGATCCCATAAGGGAGAACTGGAGAACAGAGGAAAAGAGGTGTTGTAATAGAATTCCTGTGGTCGCCCATGGTCCATGGGCAGGCAGTCTTCTTCCTGTAACCAAGGTTGCTGTGGAAGAGTTGTCTGGTGGCGCTGGCAAGGGTGGGCATGAATGTATCCTTCTCGTGCAAAGGATTGGGCAAAATACCTGCTGCTTCTTTCTCATAGCACTTTCTAGTATGCTAAGGAATGGAGACACCAAGATGCCCCCCTTTGAACAGTGAGTATCTAGCCAGCATTCCAAACCAGGTAACAGATACAGGCTCAATCTGTATGTGTTCTTCAGGGGCTGGTTAGCCGCTGGCTCTACAAAGAGAGACTGGGTTCAGGTACAGACTTTTGAAGATACCAAGAGAACCAAATGCTGGCCACAAATGGGAGGGTCCTTGGGCCTCCATGCCTGCACTTGCCCTGAGGCTGGCCAGGTGTTGGTATCATGCTGTGGGTCTCTCAGCCTCAGCATTTCTGAAGACACTGCTTGGTAAACATGGTTAGGCTGATGCCAATAAATACAAAACAATGCTGCTTTAGAGTACAACACATTTATACACACACTTAATAGAATCTAAGCCAGGAAGCCCAAGGCAGTGGGGAACTCATGCAGCATGGTGCTCTGTCAGCCAGCCTTTCATTGCTATGGTAAATGGCTGAGACATATCAAACTAAAGAGAAAAAAGATTTATTTCGGCTTCCAGCTTACAAGGCTTCAGTCCCTGGTCAGTTACACCCGTTGCTTTTGGGCTTATGGCAATGTAGTACATACTGGTAGGGAGTGCACAGTGGGGCAGAGTCACACATCTCATGGAGAGACCAGGGTCCCTCGGGCCCCTTTGCAATCAGACCCCCAGTGGCTGACACCTGCTCCTAAGTCCCACCTCTTAAAGGTTCCACCCCATTCCAGTAGCTCCCAGCTGGGGCCTAAGCCTGAACAGATGGGCCTCTGGAGACATTGCACTTGCAAACTACTGTATAGGAGGTGTCCGTGCTTGGTCCTTCTTTCCCAGAGAAGAACTACCTGTCTGTCCCACACTGCTGGCCACAGTAGCTCAAGTGTCAGAGATGATATGGCCTTAGTAGGCTGGGTTACCTTCCTAGATTGATGTAGGAAATTTACACACAAGGTGGTTTAACATAACAAAAATAATTGTATTTTCTCAAAATTCTGCAGGCCAGAAATCAAAATCAAGGTGTCCAGGAGGTTGGTTTCTTATGGAAGGTTGGAAGGAAAATGTGACATGGATCTTTCCCAGCCTTTGTGGCTTCTGGAAAACTCTGATGTTCCTTGGCTTAAGGATGCCTCACCTCAGGCTCTTCCCGTTTTCACATGGCCTTTCTCCTGTGTCTGCAGGTCTTTGTGTCCACTCTTCCTCTTCTGTTTTCTAGGTTAGGGTCCTTCTTACACAGTGTCACCTTATCTTTACTTGAATACATTTACAGAACCACACTGTCAATAAGGTCAAAATAAGATCCCATCCATAAGCATGGGAGGTTAGGACTTGATCAGATCTTTCAGTGGGAAAAAATTCTACACAGCACATCATCCAACTTTGATGTTTGTCCTTACATGCTCACATTCCTATAGATGAAAGTTTTAGAATTGTACATAATAATAGGGGATTAGGCCATGTCAATAGCATTAAAATAACCAAGGTATCTTTTTATTCTCCAAATTCCAGAATAGTCCTGGTGACTGGAATGCTTGCAGGGGACTGGCCAGCATGGATTTTATAGCCATTTTGCTGTCCCTGAGTATTTATGTGTTGACGAGAGCTTTACTTTCATGTTTATTTGTGTTAGGTCAGTTAAATCAGACAACTTCTGAAACCAGAGCCTCATGTGAGCTCAGGCAAGTGAGAGGGAATGTTTAAGGCCCCATTAAACAAGTCTACAGTACACATCTTGTCTTCAGCCTGTCTGCTGGCAAGATGATAAAAGCAAAATGCAGATGTTTTTCTTACATGCTAAATTAGTTAATAAATCATATGCGTGAATGAGCTCTGGCTACAGTGTCAAGGCGTCTGGTAAAAAGAAGACTCAGATTTGCTTTCCTGCTGGGGTAGCTGCCTCTGATCTGGGCTTGCAGAGCAGTCTTGGCTGAAGGACAGACCCGAGAGTTTCAGGTGGGAACCAGTGAGAAGCAAGTTGCTGATTTACCGGGACAATTATAGCAAGGACCAGGGCCAGTTCGCTCGTGTTGGTTGATGAATTCTGAGCAGCCTCTGAGGTTCCGGGGCAGAGTGCTGTGTGTGTGTGTGTGTGTGTGTGTGTGTGTGTGTGTAGGTGTAGGTGTGCCTGCATTTGTATGTGTAGGTGTTAATTACAGTTAAGGGCTCCTGTCTAGAGACAGGAGAACTTTTGAGAATAATTGGGGATGACAGACCAGAAAGTAGCACTAGAAATGTCTTGGCCACAGCCCACACCTTCTGAAGATCTCCCACTTGAATACAGTGAGTAGCAACCATGCAGGTAAATCATGGTGCAAGTTAGGGAACAAGTCACTGGTGATGCTCAGTTCAGCTATGGGGCTGGGTAGTAGGGGTGAGACCCCGGGAGGAAGATGAACTCAAGGGAAATAGAACCCAAGGAGAGCAACAGGCATTGTATCAGTAGGTCAGCCTGAGCAGGGAGCTGGGTTATGTCACAGGCAAGATGTGACAAAGTCTGGCCCAGAGAAGAGAAGTGGGTTCAGAAAGGTGATAGATTCAAGAGGTACTTGGGTAGAATCACTGATGGTTGCTTTGTGGGAGACAGAAGCTGAGACGGAACTGGGAGAAAATGGTAGGAGGGTTTTCCTTTCAACACTCCAAGCTCTTTCTTCTTCTCATGCCAGGGCTTTACCCCATCAGTTCACCAGTTACCTGGGAGCTCTAAGCAAGGCTTCTTTCTCCCTCAGTCTTGAGGTGCATGGGTCAGGTTCAAAGGCCAACCCTGAGGTGGGAAACAGTGTTTCAGAATTAGTCATTGCTTCTCCCTTGCAGATAGACTCCAAAGCAGGAAAGCCCTTATAGCACGTGTGGAGCATCAGGTATACTGTGGGCCTTGGGATTTCAGCACCTGCAGGTAGTATGGGGGAGCAGTCAGTGGAATCCCTTACCATCCTCTGTTGACAGATCTGTGGCTTCATCTCATGCTCACTGCAGCTCTGCCAAACTGGCCCTGCCCACTTCCCACTGAGCTTCAGCCTCTATGGATTATGTTCCCTACCTTGAAACCCAGACCCCTTCCTCCCTGACTCTGCCACTCGCCCACTCTACCTAGTTGGTCTTAACTGCTGTCTCTCCAGGGATGTTCATCCTCAGAGACCCCAAACCACCTAATAGAAGTTTGTCTGTGTGTCCTTCCTCTGTATCACATCATCCTCTCAGCCCTCCTGAGCCCCTCTCATGTCCAGCTTCTCCTTCTGTTCCCTATGTCGTATAGCCTGGTGTATGCTGGCTTCATTTCTCAGCCGAGTGCTTTGCTAATGATGGATCACTGTTCCTACCAGTACCTAATGCTACAGCCAATTCGGAGAGCCCCACACTACCCAAACACTGCCTGAATGGCCTGGCTGCCGTCTCAGCTTGTTTCCTAGCTGCCTGTCAGGGTCCTTATCCATAGCTCTCCCAGGCTGTCTCTTCAACCTTTAAATGTGCAGGACACCGACCAGCAACCTCCTCTTCTTCTTCTAATTCCTCCCATATCCCCCTACACACACTGCCACTTATGACTCTTGAATGTATGTAAATCACGTACTGTCTTACCTTCTTCATTTTGGATTAAGTCATGTAGCTTCACTAGGAAAATCTGCCTAGATTGGAAGCCTTGGCAGGCACACACCATGTCAAGTCACTGTGAGACTCCCTGCTGGATCTACCAAATCAGACTGACTTAATCTGAGTTGCATTATTCACACTTCCCAATGTGAGCCAAGTCAGGGCCATTCAAATCATGGGCCAGTGGAGGAACGGAATTCTCCAGAAGCCATTGCAAATTTTCTTCTTTAGCAAATCTGCCTTCGCTGATGAGTCTTGGCTGGAGCAAGTATTAACATTAATTTGCATTCTGAGAGCGTCTACGTGGAAATGTGACCTAACAGATATGAGATGGCAG